ATTATTACTGTTCCAGTTACTGTTTTAAGTACAAATGTGGACAATAGGAGTTGGTGTTAATTTATGACTTTTATTAATCTACATAGAGTCAAATCTACATTTCTGTTATTAAACAATAAACCTTTAGCTTTGTTTTCTACTTTCAGGTTTTTTCAAGTACCAGAACATGTCTTTCACATCCCCTTCTCCAGTATTATCATTCCTTGTGACTAACAATACATACCGAGTGAAAAGTGTGTTTTGCCAAAATAACGTTCCTAATGTTGATGTCTTTGTCGGTGTTTGTATGTACGTATTACACATACATAGTATCGTATGACTTAGTATTACACTTCCATATTTTACATGGAGAATGTCTCATAAGATCTTTTTTCTAAAACAGGTTTGTTGTTATTCTTTTCATTATCATGACCATATCTGGGACAATTTTTATTACAATAAAAGAGTGGAAGAAAAAATCAGCTGGTAACAAACTGAAGGATAGTTTAAGTTTAGCTCACAAGCACTATGGGACAGTTTCATTTTATAAAATAAATGGTCAGCAATTACAAGTAAATACCCCAAAATCCAAGTTTGATTCGCCAGAACATAATCCGATGGAAACAACAGAAAATAATAATGGAGTAGGTAAGATGTATTTAACTTTATAGTAACATATTGATGAAATGGATGTTATGTTATAATTTAATGCAAATTGTTTTTTTTTCATTCTTTCATAGATATGAGTGTCACTAGCAAGGACATTATTTGTTTTCCTTACTGAGCTTAAATTTATAATATGAAACTACCTTAATACTACCTTAAGTACTAAGTTGGCATGGGGTCACATGGATGGTTGTTATGCTACATTTGTGGCTGAAAAGGATTATTGGGCAGAACAGAGATTTTGCTGTAAATGACGTGGATGTACCTACAAGAATACTTCACTTCCAATCGATAACTGCAAATTTCACTTGTATTTTGTAAATAAGCTACACACAGTTAAGCAGGGATCAGATTAGAAATCATAGGATATTTTCCCTTTGATGATCAAATACAAAACCAGTATTGCAGATTGGCTGCCCTTGAGAGAAACTGCCTGATTTTTAGTGGATTACCAGAAATAAACTGCCTGATTTGCAATGGCTCACTTGAAAGAAAATGACTGATTTTCAGTGGATCACTGGAAAGAAACTACCTGATTTTCAGTGGATCACTGGAAAGAAACTACCTGATTTTCAGTGGATCACTTGAAAGAAACTACCTGATTTTCAGAGTCATAGAGATATACAGCATGGAAACAGAGACTTCGGTCCAACTTGTCCATGCTGACCAGATATCCTGTATAAATTTAGTCCCATTTGCCAGCATTGGGCCTGTATCCCCCTAAATCCTTCCTATTCATATACCCATCCAGATGCCTTTAAAAATGTTGTAATCATATAAGCCTCAACCACTTCCTCTGGCAGCTCATTCCATACATGCACCACCCTTTGCGTGAAAAAGTTGCCCCTTAGGTCCCCTTAATATCTTTCCCCTCTCACCTTAAACCTATGTCCTTTAGATTTGGAAACCTCCACCTCAGGGAAAAGACCTTGACTATTTACCTTATCCATGCCCCTCATGATTTTATAAAACTCTATATGATCACTCTTTAGCCACCGATGCTCCAGGGAAAACAGCCCCAGCCTATTCAGTCTCTCCCCATATCTCAAACACTCCAACCCTAACACCATCCTCGTGAATCTTTTCTGAACCCTTTCTAGTTTCACAACATCATTCCTATAGGAGGGAGACGAGAACTGCAGGTAATACTCCAAAATTGGTTGAACCAATGTCCTATACAGCTGTGACCTCCCAACTCCTATATTCCTGCACTGATCAATAAAGTCAAGCACACCAAACACCTCTTCACTATCCTATCTACCTGTGACTCAACTTTCAAGGAACTTTGAACCTGCACTCCAAGGTCTCTTTGTTCAGCAACACTCCCCTTGAGAGAAACGACATGATTTTCAGTGGAACATTTGGAAGAAACTGCCTGAATTTCAGTGGATCACTTGAGAGAAACTGCCTGATTTTCAGTAGATCACTTGAGAGAAATTGTTTGATTTTCAGAAGCTCTCATAAGCTAGTTATCTGCTATGCCAATTTTACACTATAACAGCAAGTTGAAAATCCCCCAAAGTCATAATGTTGTAAAGTTAAAATGACTTTAGTCACTGCAGTAGTAAATTTGGTTAACACATAGCTCTGGATATTTAATTATTCTTTCCCTAAATTGTTACATTATTATTGTATTCTGTAATCCAGCATTATAAGCAAATCTGTGAGAGGTATCATCTATGCTGCTTATGACTGAGTCTTTAAAACATTATTAGTAAAAGGAATATTATCCTTAATGTGATACTATTGAGTAAATCAGAGCCTGAAGGCATTATCACATAATTGTTTTATCGCACAAAGCAAGCCATCTGAGCATGGAACTGGATTTTCACAGATTTAGGGAAAACTCTGCAGATCTTTAAACATAATAGACAGGATTCGATTCCTGGCACCCTCAATTTTCAACATTGCAGAAAGAATGGGGTTGGTGCACATAACTATCCCACTCCCTATCAACGGGACCTGGCCAAATCCACTGCAGGGATAGGCACCTCTTATAGCACTCTAATTTTCCTAGAATTGGATCAGGTTTTAAAGCACGTGTGGTTCACAGCCCCTTAGAGGTGATTATCTGGATGATGAAAATTTTGTAAAGTAAGCTCAATAAACTTTACCGATTCCCCATCCACCCCCATGCCAACCTCTGACCTTTTGCAAACCACCATGCCAACCTCATGCCCTCCGTGCTAACCTATGGAGGTAGATACAGGGGAGATGTCAGAGATAGGTTCTTTACTCAGAGAGTGGTAGGGGCGTGGAGTGCATTGCCGGAGAGGGTAGTGGAGTCGGCCTCATTAGGGACATTTAAGCAGCTATTAGATAGGCATATGGATGATAGTATAAGGAAGGGGTGGAGGTTAGATAGACCTTAGAATTAGGGTAAAAGTTCGACACAACATCGTGGGCCAAAGAGCCTGTACTGTGCTGTACTGTTCTGTGTTCTACGTTCTATGGCATTTCCATCGCAATTCATCTAATTTACACTCTGTTCAGTGGAGTTGATGGCATTGAAGACCCTGGTTGCCCTCTACAGGCAATGTTTCACATTCATAAGTGCATCCTGAACCTTTTGGAGTTGGGCACTTATTCTTCTCTTCTTCCTCCTTCTTAACCTTGGTAATACTTGTATAGCTTCGGGGGTAAGTTGGTCATGAAAGTACTGATCTGTGAAAAAAGATTAGGAATGAGATGTTTGATTCCACTTGAGATCTTGACACAGTTAAGCTACCTTTAGGACCCCTACCAGGCTGCTCATATCTTGAATGAAAGCTTCCCTGCAGCCATGGTGAGGTGCATCGTCTATGATCCATGAATGGTTTCCCTCTTCTTCATTCTGTCACATGAAATACAATTGGAGCTTTTGAAGCCTTGGTGCTTACTTTGTCTTCAATGCATTAGCACAACCTGACTCTTTGTTGCTTTCATTATCCTCTCTGATACAGCCCTTCAAACATAGGATTGACAGCATGCATTAATGGTTTCATCTCCATGTCCTTAACTTGCAGATAAACGTGTCTGGGAATGCTCCAGTACAGCTGAACATGGAATAGCCCCTGCCATCACCATCACCAGAGCTGGTGAGTCTTAGGTGCCTTTCTTCTCAGAGCTAAATGAATCACAGGACAAGGTTGGGACGTTGATGTTAGGAGTTGATAGAGTTTAATCTCCTTTATTCTGCAGAGTAATTCACTTCAGTGCTAAGGTTGTAAGGGAGTGCTGGAGCCATACTATTTTTTACTTTCTGTTTTGAATCTCTCTGAAGGGCAGGATCTCAGGCCCGTCCAATTTGTCCTGCACATTCTCTGTGAAGCCATCTTTTTGCATGACAGTTTTGGAAAGAGATGATGCGTGCATGTCTCACTGCTGTAGGAAGGATGTTGTGAAACTTGAAAGGGTTCGGAAAAGATTTACAAGAATGTTGCCAGGGCTGAAGGGTTTGAGCTGTAGGGAGAGGCTGAAAAGACTGGGTCTGTTATCCCTGCAGCACTGGAAGTTGAGGGGTCACCAGATAGAAGTTTATAAAATCATGAGGGACATAGATAGGGTGAATAGCCAAGCTTTTTTTTCCCAGGGTAGGGGAGTCCAAAACCAGCTGTCATAGGTTTAAAGTGAGAGGGGAATTGTTTGAAATGGACCTAAGGGACGACCTTATCATGCAGAGGTTGTGCATGTATCGAATGAGCTGCCAAAGGAAGTAGTGGAGGCTGGTACAATTACAACATTTAAAAGGCATCTGGATGGGTATATGAATACAAGGGTTTAGAGGGATATGGGCCAAATGCTGGGAAATTGGATTAATTTTGGATATCTGGTCAGCGTTGGTGAGTAGGACTGAAGGGCCTGTTTCCATGCTGTAAATCTCTATGACTCTTTGACTCTAAATATTTAATCTAATTCATTCAGCCTTCACCCATTGCCCATCACTACACTTTTCTGCAATCACTGCTGATCAACTTCTTACTATTCCCCATGACTATTGGCCTTTTCACTATCAGGCTTCATATATCTGCTCTTCCTCCTGATCCCACTTCCATCCAGAACCCCATGCCCAGCCTTAGCCTTACACCACCTCTTACTTATTCACCTATTCTTTGTCCTCCTCTAGAGCACCTGATTACTCCATTGTGTTTCCCATCGTAAATAAGCAACTCCTACACTTTCTTAAACAAAAACAGAAATTGCGGGAGAAACTCAGCAGGTCTGGCAGCATCATGACAGTTCTGAAGAAGGGTCACTGGACTCAACATGTTAACTCCATTTTTCTCTTTGCACCAGACCTGCTGAGTTTTCTCATTTCTGTTTTTGTTTCAGATTTCCAGCATCCACAGTTCTTTGTTTTCTTCTCTGCTCTCTTGTCCACCTCACCCAGAGCACTGTAATTCTCCCTTCTGCATCCCTGTTTTCCCCTCCCATTCCCCAGGATCCTTCCAGTCCCCCTCACAGTCACACACTAAGTTTCATTTATTACTGTTATTTTCCTACCTAACCCACTTTTGTGTGAAACTTTTGAATTAAGCATCCTTTTGAATTAAACCCCATTTGGGATTAAGCTCCACTTGCCTGCCCCAGTCAGGTTTTCTGGGATCGTGGTTTCTTCACTTGAACAGGCTTGTTGCCAGAGTCATCTCCAAACCTGACAATCTAAGTGTTAAAGAACGACAAGCAAGACTGCATATGACTGAAGCTTCTCATGTGTTGATTGATCTGGTCAGCCTTCAATCTTACAGTGGATGTACTTAGGCAAAAAATGCTTGGTTATGAAGGAACCATGTTACAGAATAAGTTTGTAATCACAATGGCTTGGAAGGTGAAGTTTACGCAGCCATGCACAGACATTGTATATTTTATATATAGTTGGTTTTATGAGCACACCTTCCGTTTTTGGGGAGCAAGATAGTGCCTGTGAATGGAATCCAGCCAGGGTGAGGTGTTAATATGTAATGATGGAATGCTAATGAGTGCAAGAGATGTTCTTGATCATGAAAGTCAGGAAAGCCGACAAGCCTGAAAGGTTCTGAGAATTTAGTACCAAAACTTTGTTGCATCATTCAGAAACAAATATTTTGCCTCCATCCAATGAAATTCTTCCACATGCCTTTGCAAGTGCTTTGTGTGAACTCTTAGTCCATAAGATATAGGAACAGTATAAGGTGATTCAGCCTGATCGAGTCTGCTGTAACATTCAATCAAGGCTGATATCTTTCTCAACTGAATTCTCCCCATAACCCTTGATCCCCTAACTAATCAATAATTATCTATCACTGTCTTCAAGCCAGTCAATGACTTGGCCTTCTCAACCTTCAGTGACAATGAATTACTCAGATTCACCATCTTCTGGCTGAAGAAATTCCTCCTCATCTTAGTCTTCTCTCCTATCTATCAATTTGAGATTTATTAACCTAATTTAAATTCTACCAGCTGCTGCAGTGGAATATGTGCCCAAAACATAAATCTTATGTCTGGATTGCAAATCCTGAAACATCAGCATTATGCCACCATCTCCCCACTTGACATTTCTTTATCTTGTTTCAATTGTCAATAAGTATTGATTATTTAAGAAATAGTTTCAGGAGAAAAAACTAATAGTAAAGCCATGTTTTATCTTGGATATCCCAGTATCAACAAAATAATGGATGTTTGGACTGTTGGTCTTGTACAACTCTTATGTACCATAATCTCTCATAATCCCAAACATAAAAAGTATGTTTTTAAAACACAAAGTTTTACCTCTGAAACACGTAAATTATGCAATCAAATATCTGCAACACATTACAAGCTTTCCTTACCTTTCTGTGTCATTTTTTAATTTGGTATTGTCTTAACTTTGGCAAATGATCCTAACTGAGTTAAAATGGCTTGAATTTTTCTTGAAACGGCAAAGACTTTAGATTACAGAAAATGCTGGGAACTGCTCATCATGTCAGGAAACATCTTTGGAGCGAGAAGCAATTAATGTTAACATTTCAGGTCACTAATCCTGATCATAACAACCTTGTTTTAACACACATTTAATTATCCAATTCTTTAATAACAAAAACAAAGTTGCTGGAAAAGCTCAGCAGGTCTGGCAGCATCTGTGAAGGCAAAAACAGAGTTAACGTTTCGGATCTGGTGACCCTTCCTCAGAACTGACATTGGCTGGGAAAACTTCAGTTTATATGCAGAAAAAAGGGAGGGGAATGGGGTAGGGAGTAAATGATAGGATAGAGCCGAAAGAAAGAGAAGAGCAGTTGGACAGACAAACAGTTATTAACGATCAGGCTGGGAGGGTGAATAGTTGTTAATTTTCTGCTTGGGAGCCCTGCAGCCTCCCGGGCTCAATATAGAGTTCAATAATTTTAGGGCCTAAACTCTCCCATGTCCTAGCCCCCTACCCCACACACCAGGCCTTGTTACCACATGACCTGCCGTTACACACCACCTGTTGTTAGTTACTAATATGTCCATTAACAACTATTCACCCTCCCAGCCTGATTGTTATCAAATTTTTGTCGTTCCAACTGCTCTTCTCTTTCTTTAGGCTCTATCCTATTGTTTACTCCCTACCCCATCCCCCTCCCTTTATTCTGCATATCAACTGACATTTTCCCAGCCAACATCAGTTCTGAGGAAGGGGCACTGGACCCAAAACGTTAACTCTGATTTTTTCTTCACAGACGCTGCCAGAGCTGCTGAGCTTTTCCAGCAACTTTGTTTTTGTTCCTGATTTACAGCATCCGCTGTTCTTTCAGTTGTTATCTAATTCTTTAAATCTTACTAGGTTAATTTTTCTTCATCCATTTGATATCAAACTTGCCAGTAAAACTAGTGTGGAAGCAAGACATTGCTGAAGTTAAAAGAAGCAAGATGATAAATGAGGAATTACTTGGAGCACTGGTTCTTTGAATAAAAAGACACTACAGTAATTTACAGTAAACATCATGGTACTAAAAACACTAAAATTGTTTTTTCCATGTTATTTGGTCTTTGCAGATTTCTTCAACTGGATACTGACAAGCTTTGCCATACAAAATAGTGTCCCTGCCCTGTTTCGCGCTAAGAACACTGTGAGATCATATTCAGTGATAAATGGGATCCGAGTGCTGAGTTTGCTCTGGATAATTTCAGGACATGTCTGTCATTTCATTTTATTTAATAATCTAGGTACAATAGATTATACTAAGCTTACCTGTGCATGTGTGTCTTTTTGTATATTTTATATTGTCGATTTTGAAACATTCACTTAGAATAGAGGGAAAATTTGACAGAAAAATATTAATAGTACTCCTAATTAAAAAAGATTGGGTTGTCATGGTCTACTTCTGTAAATAAACTTTTGTTATATGACATGCAGGCAAAGTGACAATGGAAGTATAAAGTTAATAGGTGCCATGTTTAAAAGGAATATTTTCTCCAGCAATTAACTGATATCTATAATTGAATTTCAAGCAAAGCAATTAATTGGTTTTGATAAATCTTTCAAAGGTAGCTCAGATAAATATCTATTTCAGACATTGAAGGTTTTGGCAATAAGGACAATAACAGATTACCATCCACTCTAGGGAGCATCAGGAATAATATTCTTCATTTGTGATTCTAAAGCAGAGCAATATGTTATATTGGCCATGTAAAATGATTCGCCCTTATTCAGCCAATTTGATTTTCTGTCTGTTAATATTTTTAATCAGTAAATGAGCACAAAAAGATAAAATTAGTTCTGTGATGTTCACTTGCTACTGGTACTGAGGGTATTTCACTTGCAGAATACAGCGAGCAGAGTTAGACTATATATTGCAAGAAACTGTCATCATTCAGTGTCTTTGGGGATTGGAGAAAAACTTTTAGAGATTTACATTCTTGAAAATTATATTTGCTGTAGGTTTCATTTCTCAGCAGATTGAGCGTATTGGGTATAATACTTGAGAGGTCAAAATGTACTAGGTCATAGAAGATGTCAAGCCATATTCTCTAAGCTTTATGTGAAGCAAATAGCTTGCTCCGTATGCTTATACCATACTTAAAAAATCATACATTTATCAGAGATAGTAGGAACTGCCGATGCTGGAGAATCTGAGATAACAAGGTGTAGAACTGGATGAACACAGCAGGCCAGGCAGCATCAGAGGAGCAGGAAAGCTGACTTTTTGGGTTTTTTCTGAAGAAGGGTCCAGACCCGAAATGTCAGCTTTCCTGCTCCTCTGATGCTGCCTGGCCTGCTGTGTTCATTCAGCTCTACACCTTGTTATCGCATACATTTAACGGATCGACTTTAATAACCTCAAAAGTATATTTTTGTTCATTTCTTTTAGATAATCCAGTACAGTGGTTGGTGTCTGTCCCAAACAATGTCCTTTATATTTTCTCTCTTGGCGGTCCATTCTACTTGGCAGTGGATAGTTTGTTCCTGATTAGGTGAGTTAAACAGTTTCATTGTAACAGGTGAACTGTGGTGTAACCTTTACTGCTTTAGTAACCCCTCACCGGCAAAAAAAAATCACAGGGCAACCAACTGGACCTGTTCTGACACTGACGAGGAAAAGGAGAAGAATTTGGTTATGATTACTGACAGTTCACTAAACATTACTTATCATCAACAAGCTAATCAAGTACTGGGATCCTCAATGTTTGTTCCTCAAGGCTGAATTAAATTCTGTTTCACATTGTGTGTATCACTGGTGAAGATGTATTTTAAATATCACATGAAACATGTCTGACACACAGTCCTAGAGAAGATTACACTGCAGTTCCATTCTTGTTTCTCAATTGGGAGATTGTGTCTGATACATTTCTGCATTATGTCAGTAAAATGTCAGGTATTAGTCTTTCTGGCAATCTGATGATGATTTAGATTGTCTGTGACTTCAGACTGGCAAATGTATTTATTGTTTTGAAGGTGATGCAAAATGAGTGCATTTTCTCTCTGAGTATATACCACTGCTAAGTAGCTGGATGAGCAATCCATTCATCCTAGGAAGTACACATGATTAGTCCAAGCATCAAGTTTTCTTCTGGGCATTGCTGGCTGGGCCAGCATTTATTGCCCGTCCCTAGTTGCACTTGAGAAGTTGGTGGTGAGCTGCCTTCTTAAACTACTGCGGTACATGTGTTGTAGGTAGACCCCCAATGCAGTTAGGTAGGGCATTCTACGTTTTTGACCCAGCAACTTTGAAGGAATAGTGATATATTTCCAAGACAGGATGGTGAGCAGCTTAGAGGGAAACTTGCAGGTGGTGGTGTTCCCATGTATCTGCGGTCTTTGTCCCTCAAAATGGATGTGAGTTTGGAAGTTGCTGTCTAACATGCTCTTCAGCATGTTTCTAATGTTGTGGGTTAGCTCGGGGTCTCTGATTAGTATCGGAAGTTCTGAAGAGTGCAATGGGAACAAGGAATGAATCAGATCAATCCAATTGTCATTATAGGGCAGCATCATTTCAGCCAAAGTGTAACAAAAAGGAAAAGTGGTCACAAGCTTCACACAGGTGAACAACAGGCATGAGGTAGACTGCAGGATATAAAGGTTAGGGTGTACCAGCCAATGAACCCTATGCTTGAGTATGCCAAGCTATGTGAGGTCAGTTACAGGTCACCTTATTTAAGTAATGCTACTGAATTCCTTCACAACTGGGAGCGGATCCTACACACCCATCAAACAGGAGAGATTGCTTCCTGTGGCAATACCTAGCTCTCTGTACTTGGCAAAGCAGCCTTTTAAATTCCAGGCTGCATCTATTAACACTCAAAAACTATGGACAGCTTGCCCCAGACATCTTATTGGCCCTGATCCTGTAGTCTGTGGATCATCAGAGTCAAGATGCATGACTGAAGGTGTACTTTGAGACACTGCTGTCATCCTGATATGCTGATGCAATCCTAATTGAACTTTCCATGGGCAATTCCCCTTATGCCTGGGTCACTCCACAGATGGTTTCCACTTCTACTGACTGAGAAGCCTCTTCTCACATGGTGCATCTCCCTACTGCATTTCCATCAGACTGTGGCTCAGCAAATTCATAGCAGGAGGACCCTCTCCAGGGTACCTTCCCTTGGACAAAGCTGATATTGTCTAGACCTGATTGAGACAAGTAGAGAAGGCTATCATACTTGATGTATCTGGTCCCTTGGCAGGAATGACCAGTGCATAGTCCTTGTGGGATAAAGTCCTGTCTTCACACTGAAGAAACTGTACAATTATATTACAGTTAAGAATGATCAAAGTATTGTGACAGCCTGTTAAATTAGATACTAAGACATTAACCTTTGGTAATTTTAATAAGCAAGAATAATCCTATGTGGTTAAGAATACAACAGTGACCATGAACAAATGCCAATTTGTATTATGGTCTTTTTCAGTGGTTTGCTGAGTGCAAGAACACTATTAAATATGCATCATCAACCTGAAAAAGGTCTGACCTTCAAAATTCTAAAGGACTATGTTATTAGGAGATTACAGAGGTAAGGTGCTGTTTAATATCATTGGCCAGCTAACAGTTTAAGCACCAATGCTTCAGCTATTGCTGCATTGTTAGAGATGCTGCCTTTCCAATGGAACATTAAACAGAAATATTTTCTGTCGTTTTAAATGGATGAAATAGATTCCCTCCGTATCTGTTCAAAGAAGCAAAGGAAAGTTCTTTCTAAATGTTCTCACCAATATCTACCACTGATAATACAACTAATCCCTCGGTGAAGTTTCATAATTTATTAAGGTCCAGGCAGGATACCTCAGATCATAAAGCACCCATGTGAGGGGGAATGAGCTAGCTCTTTTTCTTTATTCACTCACTCCCTCAGTTGGCCACAACAAACTTAATTTGAAAAGGATCCCTTCCATTTGGATACCCTTCTCCCTGACCAAATAAACTTATGTTTCAAAAGCAGCCAATTTAACCAGGCTTCCTTAACTTAACAAAGCGTGTGTTTATTAGTTACTAAATGCATTAAGAAATGTCTCCCTGCTATAAAAAGGATGTTGTGAAACTTGAAAAGATTCAGAAAAGATTTACAGGGATATTGCCAGGTTTGGAGGGTTTGAGCTGTAGGGAGAGGCTGAATAGGCTGGGGCTATTTTCCCTGGAACGTCAGAGGCTGAGGGATGACCTTATAGAGGTTTATTAAATCATGAGGGGCATGGATAGAGTATATAACCAAGGCCTTTTCTCCAGGGTAGCGGAGTGCAAAACTAGAGGACATAGGTTTAAGGTGAGAGGGAAAAGATTTAAAAGGGATCTAAGGGGCAACTTTATCACACAGACGGTAGTGCATGTATGGAATGAGCTGCCAGAGGAGGAGGTGGAAGCGGATACAATTATAACATGTAAAAGGCATCTGGATGGGTATATGAATAGGAAGAGTTTAGAGGGATATGGGCCAAAAGCTGGGACTAGATTAATTTAGGATTCCGTGCTGTGCAACTCAATGACTCTATGCGTCTACATAATAACACAATACATACTCATAGATTAGGAATAAGAAGTGAGTTCAAAGAAAGTTAAAAGTAAAAAATAAACAGATCTATATCTGAGTCAATCGTGAAGGGTAGATAGTAAAATGTTGAGGACATTACATTGAATGGCATGGGGAGCATTGATATTTGTTATTGAACAATTGGTTTTTAGATTCTTGGTTTCTCAGATTAGTTTGAGATTCTGTTGTCCTGGTTCCCTTCAACGGTGGTTAGCTAGCAGCGGTCAGTGTGAGCAAACATTGTTTTCTTTTCTTTGCTTGTAGTGCAGGGCTGCTTTATAGCAATTCTCAAGCAATTACCTTCACAGCACATTGGTACACACACTAGTATGTCAGGCCATCAACACATTTAGACCAACAGTGCAGCTTTTTTTAAACATCTCTTTCCTAGAAAGATAAAACAGGAACATCTCTGCAGGAGATGGCTTCCTGCTGACAGGGTGGTGGGTAGTCAACTCATCATCCCTTCCTTGTTAGTCTTTCAGTTTGAAATTTCTCCGAATCTGTACAGGAATGATATATAATAGAGCCACATGGGACCCTGCCAGACAAGTTGCTGAAATTATATCCACAGTCATCTTTTGAATGTAACAGTCGTCAATATTTAAAGAAAAAACAAATGTTGGAATTAAGCATTTGAAATATCCATAAGTACTTTAGAGTCCTGATCCATCATCATGATGCTGAACAAACATTGCTGAAACCCGTCATGAGCTTCATTCATTGTTGTTTGCAGAAGAGTCATGTGAGCAAATTGACTGCCACGTTACCATGTGACCATAAGATATAGGAGAAGAAGTAGGCCATTCAGCCCATCAAGTCAGCTCTGTCATTCAACGAGTTCTTGCTGATCTGATAATCCTCAACTCTACATAACAGTGCCTATAATTCAAAACTACATCATGAGATCATGAAAAGCATTACATAAACACAGGTCTTTCTTCTTAATTTCTTACCTTGTTTGCTTTCCTATGCAACTCTTTCATTTATCTGGCCATTCCAAAGAAGAGTCATATTGGACTTGAAATATTAACAGGTTCTGTCTTCTTGAATCATTTTTCTAGCACTTTATATTTTTATTTAATTTCCAGCATTCTTGGCTTTGACCCAGTGACTCTGAAGGTCAGAGAGTGACTTTCACTTCTGATTACACAACGTCATATAATATTTAAACTGAACTACAATTTTGAAGTATAATTACTTGTTTCATAAGGACATGTAGCAGCTAATTTGAACACAGACATCTCAGCTCCAGGACATTCTTGTAGGAGCTCATGAGGGTACTGTGCTTAGTCACTATTGGACCCCAAGTGCTTTATAAATGCATACATATTATTTACCCTTACTTTGCATTCTTGTGGGCATTTATTTGATAGATATTCATTATGTCTCCAACTCGAAATGACTCAGAGACAAACCACTGCAAATCTCATCACAACACATGACACAACTTTCTAAAGACATAACTTTGTGATGCCATCCCTAGCAAATTTGTTGCTACACTTCTGAAAACTGGAAGCATGTGGCTCATTGCATGTCTGATAGGAATACTAGTGGATAGATGTATCCTGACCTACTTGAATACATGCTCCTCCTCTTCATTGACGAAAACATTGCAGAGTTGTTGTGGTGAAGCCAGCATAGTCTATTACAGAGGGATTTGGATTTGTAGAAACAGTAGCACTGTTGTCACTCCTTCTTTCTCATTCAAACATTAATTCATCCTGAATGGCCTGTTTCTATCCATTAATGTTTATGTACTACTTAGGAGCAAATGAGTGCTGCCTGGATAGTTTGAAAACGTGATCAATGAATCAGATTACAGAAACATAGCATCACCAATCTACATGCCTCAAAACCAGATATACTGTATCAAGCATTTAAGCTAACATCCATTTTTCATGTTTGGCATTTAGTAGCCTGTGTTCTGGCATTGTCTTCAGCAAGTCTAGACTTCCTTTCATCATATGGTTGAGGCCACAGTATCAGTTTGAGTTCAATACAGACTGATTGACAAGAACTATGCTCAGAGTCTGTGTTCAAAGTAACATTATTTATTGTACATTGTTACTAAATATTGCAATACATGGAGTCAGAGATATACCAGGATATAAGTTTATAGTCACTTTGGGTAAGGAACTAATCTATCTTCTTTGTGTGTTCATGCCTATTTGCTCTCACAGCACTCTCCTGTTCCACAATGTTTGAGACTAGTACAGTGTTTTGTAATGGAGTTTTGTCTTATCTGTTCTAACTCTGCCCACACTGTGCTATTTGTGCTCTGTGAGGTGCAGCTCCATTACTTCATCAAAAGGTTACACAACTATCCTGAAACCGTCACACAACAGACAATAGCTCCTATTTGTCTTACTTCATGGAATAGCCATGACAAAAAAAGTATATATTTTTTGGTAGAAAATTTTTCAGAACACTATTCTAATAGTTGGGAAGTGTATTAACCTATTGTTCTGTTCTTAAATGTGAATCTTCTATGTATGTCAATCATCTTCTTTATCCTCTTCAATCCATTGCAATGGTAAGTCTGTTACTTATTCTTTTCTTTAGTTTTCGTCATTTCTTGCCACAGACTATGTCTGCACCTTTCCTATGGTCTTTAGTCAGATTATAGCCATTGTCAAGCTGTTTGGTTTTCACTGTCATTTTATTGCTTCGCTGAGATGATCTTTTCTTTATTCAAGTGTGGGATGTGGGTGTCACTTGCCCACCCATAGTCGCACGTGAGAAGGTGGTGGTGACCTGCGTTCTTGAACTGCTGCAGTCCTCCTGCTGTGGGTTGACCCACAATGCCATTAGGGAAGGAATTCCAGGATTTTTGACCCAGTGACAGTGAAGGAACAGCAATATGTTTCCAAGTCAGTTTGGTGAGTGGCCTGGAGGGGAACTTGGATGTGGTAGTATTCCCATATATCTGCTGCCCTTGTCCCTCTCGATGGAAGTGGTCGTGGTTTGGGAGGTGCTGTTTGAGGATCTTTGGTGAATTTCTGCAGTGCGTCTTGTAGATAGTACACACTGCTGTGACTGAGTGTCAGTGGTGGAGGAAGTGGATGCTTGTGGATGTAATGCCAGTCAAGCGGGCTGCATTGTCCTGGATGGTGTCAAGCTTCTTGAGTATTTTTGGGGCTGCACTCATGCAGGCAAGTGGGGAGCATTCCATCACACTCTTGACTTGTGCCTTGTAGATGGTGGACAGACTTTGAGGAGTCAGGAGGTGAGTTACTTGCCACAGTATTCCTAGCTTCTGGCCTGCTCTGTAGCCATTGCGTTTATGTGGTGAGTCTAGTTGAGTTTCTGTCAAAGATAACTCCAAGGATGTTGATAGTGGGGATTCAGTGATTGTAACACCATTGAATGTCAAGGGTTGGTGGATAGATTGTCTCTTATTGGTGATGGTAATAGCCTGGCATTTGTGTGGCGCGAATGTCACTTGCCACTTGTCAGTCCAAGCCTGGATATTGTCCAGATCTTGTTGCATTTGAACACGGACTGCTTCAGTATCTGAGGAGTCACGAATGGTGCTGAACATTGTGCAATCATCGGCAAATATCTCCTATTCTGACCTTATGATGGAGGGAAGGTCATTGATGAAACAGCTGAAGATGGTTGGGCCAAGGACACTACCCTGAGGAACGCCTGCAGAGATGTCGTGGAGCTGAGATGATTGACCTCCAACAACCACAATCATCCTCCTATGTGTACAGTATGACTCCAACCACCGGAGAGTTTGCCCCCTGTTACCCATTGATTCCAGTTTTGCTAGGGCTCCTTGATGCCACACTCAGTCGAATGCAGCCTTGATGTCAAGGGCTGTCACTCTCACTTCACTTCTGGAATTCAACTCTTTTCTCCATGTTTGATCCAAGGCTCTAATGAGATCAGGAGCTGGGTGGCCCTGGCGGAACCCAAACTGGGTGTCACTGAGCGGGCAATGTTTGATAGCACTGTTGAGAGTGGATTGATGCGGTGGTAAT